CGCCCCCTTGAGAACTCGAGCCCCGCCTGGGAGGCTGCATTAGGAAGAGCTGCTCCATCTCACCGGTGACCACAGCCGTCTTGCTTTGAGTGCCCACGTTTGCGCCAGGAGCTGTAGTAAACTGAGAAGTACATTTCACAGAGCTCGCAGAGCCTTTATTCTGTGCCAGCCCCCGGTGCACTTGGAACGGTCCCAGTTTCACACATGGGAAACTGAAGCTCAGAAGTTGAGTGACCTGCCCAGTGTGACACAGCTAGTGATAAAAGAGGGCCCAGATCCCAACCCAGCTCTGCCTGGCTGCAAAACCCCAGCTGCTCTTTACAGTCGCTATAGACTGAAAAGTCAGATATTGAAACCCAGCCCTCAAGGCGGGGCCTCGGGGAGGTGATGAGGTCATGAGGGTGGAGCCCTCACCATTGGATTAGTGTTTCCTGGCCCCTTTCACCAAGAGGACACAGCAGGAGGCTGGCCGTCTGTGAGTCCGGAAAGGGGCCCGCACAGACACTGCGGGTCTGCCGGTGCCTTGATCTTGGACTTTCCGGGCTCCAGAACTGTGAGTAATCTGCCTGTTGTTTAAGCACCCGGTCTGTGGCATTTTTGCTCCAGCAGCCTGAGCTTAATTTAAGGTAACAATTCTGCTGGTGGAGTCTTAACTACGTAGCCTCCTGGAAACGTAGAACAGGAGTGGGGAATGTCCGGCCCTCGGGCCATAGACAGCCCACAGAATCATTTGGTCTGACCCTGCCAAGACAACCGCAGGTGGGACTCAAAATTCAATAGATCTAGGACCTTTTTTCACAGCTAATTTTTAAGTTGATAATTTTGTACGGCCTGCAAATGACGTTATCAATATCCCAATGCCCCTCGGCAGAAACAAGGTTCCCCACCTCGATATAGAGTAAAGCAACCCTCCCTTACAAAGGTGTCTACAGTTTTCAGTGACCTTGCTTGTGACAAAGTTCAGTGAGCGCAGTTCGGCTGAGTTAGTGAGACCCAGAAGGGTGGACTCGCACACACTCCGTGACCTTAAGCCAAAGCACGGTTTATATCTGTGCACGTCTGCATTTTGCCTTTCCAGGGATCAGAAGCTGCCAGGCAAAGATGTTCAGAGGACCTAGACTAAAGGTTTGTGTTGATTTCTTGGTTCCTCAGTCATATATTTACATGAGTCTGTTACTTGTCACCAGCTAAGATCTGTGTGTGTGCTAGGACTTGCACCTTCCTTGTTTCTTTGTTGCTCCCTGAAATCACCTGAGCACCATTTACCATTTGTTAGTCGCTTGAGTTCGGTTTCGCCCTCTGCTGGGAACTGGAGATGAACAAGCTGCTGCTGAGCAGGGGGGCTGGTTCCGGGTCTGAGATGCGCAGGTTTGTAGTATGCGGAGCGGAGATCGCAAAGGGAGCCCTGTAGGAGGGAGGCAGAATCCCCCCGGCACAGCACTGTGCCCGCAGTAACAGAGACAAACAGATGGTTCTGGAGTGAGGGAGGGCAGTGGGCTCCGGGGCAGTGTTGTTGTTTTTTATTATTATTGATTTCAGAGAGAGAGAGGGAGAGGGAGAGAAACATCAATGATGAGAGTCATTGATTGGCTGCTTCCTGCGCGCCCTCTACTGGGGGTTGAGCCCACAACCTGGGCCTGGGCCCTGAACGGGAGTCGAACCACGATCTCCTGGTTCATAGGTCGACCCTCAACCACTGAGCCACGCCGGCCGAGCCCAGGGCACATGTTTTGTAGTTTTATCTGGTAGTGGTAGACTCTGCTAAGTGTCACAGTCTAGTCAGGGTACCTTCAGGATGAGTCACCCTCCGTCTAGATTGCACCCCCACGCAGACCACACCACTAGCCTTAAAAGCTCATTAAGCTGCGAGACCTGCCGAGAGGAGGCTCTGCCAAACAGGGAGCACCAGGAGTCAGGAGGGACCGAGCCACTGCACAAGATGGCCCAGGTGTCCTGCCAGCTGGTTGCACGCCCCAGGCTGTGCTGTCCCCTCTGGGGAACCCGTGTTCCCGTTTGGGAACGAGAGAGAGGGAGAGTGGGAATTTTCCATCCTCCTCCCCCGGGTGACTCAGAAGAAAGCAAAATCTGCTCCCAGCTCGTTCTATTACTACGTCCCTCATTTCTCTCACTGAGCCGCGCAGAGCAAAGCCTGGGAGACATTTGCCTGCCCCCACTCCCCTGCCTGGTCCCTCGTTCCCACGACCTGCTTCCCGTAGCACCCCCAGAAGCCTTGTGTCTGCCAGGGTCCCACAGTCAGCCCAGAGATGCTGTCTCTCTGTTGTCATTTTACTTTAAATAAAATGCGGCTGCCCCTCGGTGGCCCAGTGCCGAGTGGGGTGCGGGAGGCTCGGACACGAGGTTTTGGTCTCGTATCGCTGCCTTGTGGAATCTGCCACAAATGCCCAAGAGCACAGCAGGCCGGGCCCGGCACGGGAGGGAGGCCAGGCCTTCGGGAATACTGGCTTTGGCGCATCATTCACATATCAAATCCGGGCTCCCTCCGTTCCAGTAGGCGACTCGGGGAGGAAGGACCCAGTGCCTCTCCTCCTGTCCCCATGACCAGGGACCGCGGTTTCTCACTCAGGCCCAGAACCGGCTGTGTGTTGGAAATGACCTGCCACTCCCCCAGCAGTGGCCGTCTCAGGCACACGGAGGAGGCTGACTCACTGGGTAAATCAGAGGGCTCTTAGGAGGGGAATCAGGTATGTGGCCTCACATGCGGACCTGGGTCCATCCCTGCTGCCTCCACCCTGGTCCAGGATACCATTGCCCCCTGCCTTGGAAGTTCATTTGCCCCCAAAGCATGTACGTCCTCGAGTCACGCCCTTGCTTGATGGCTTCCTGGTTGCCCTGTGGATAAAGCCCCACCTCCTGAGCACAGGCAGCTCCAGGACGTAAACTAACTCGGAGGGGTTAAAGCCAGGCACGGTCAGCAGCCTGCCAGCAGTTGGCCTGGGAGAGGGCATGGGACTCAG